CCAGCAAGGTGTATACTCCTTCCTGTACCCTCGAGGCATGCTGCGCTTAGCGGCGGCTTTTATGATGCCGATGAACCTGTGGAAGGTGTCAACCGTTGGCGGTACCCATCTAATGCTGGCGCCAACCGACGCTTGGAAGATTTCCCAGTTGGCTTTCTTGAAATTCCATCGAGGTTCTGCTGTTGATGTTATGACCGGGACATCGATGCCACATGGACGATAACGGGCCTGTGTTGGCAATTAGGAGAGTCTTCCAGGATGGTTCTTGAAGCAATGATGGGGTGTCCGTTGTTGTCTTTCGATAGGAAGCACAGGTCGGGAGTATAGTCTCTCTGCAACCGTGCAGAGCGAAGCGTTCCTCAGTCCTTCGCGTCGAACAGGAGGAATTTATCCTCCATCGAAGACGACTCGGCGATTGCCTCTCTGTTGTTGTCGGTCTTTTCATAGCCCCACGTTGTGTGGTGGCTGTTAAAATCACCCAGATGGATGGCGGGATGTTGGGTTGGAGGTAGCGGTGGGTCAGGCCACTGCACGAGTGAGAGTTTGCACACCTTGGTGATTGTTAGGTGGCCAACCCATATACTTGTTTTTGAAACTACGGCGATGTTGGTGTGCTGGAGTTCGGCACAGTCTTCAAGGCTTCGTTTGACGTAGGTCGCAAGGCCTTATTTCGGGTGATTGTTGCAGGCGATTAGGTCGAAACCTGTAGTACGTCCTCCTGCTACGAACTGGTGGTTATGTTCAATATGGGTCTCCTCGAGGACAAGGACGTCGATGCGCCGTTCCTTGAGGAACCTTTCGAGGTATTCACACTTCGATCGAGAGATGCCTTCAATGTTGAGCTGGCATATTCGGAGGGCTGGTCCAATTTTTCCATTGTTCCCATTAATATGACTGAGTTTCCTTTGTACTTGTTATCTCACATATTCTTTTTCCTCTTTGACAGTTGCAAATAAACTTTTCAACAAAAACGTATAACAAGAATCTGGCAAAGCATTTGTGACACCTGTAACATGTACCACCTACTCGTCCTTGACTTATCATGGACGTGCGTGTGTATGGATATTTCTTGCTACAACGGTACGTACCACGGTGGAGAGCTGAGGCGTGGGATCGGAGGGGTAGAAAAAGGGATCACGAAACTCGTACATGTGAAGTGGATGTGGACCCAATGTTATGAGGTCAGTCTTACCGTGGAAGACGGTAAGACATTCACTTCAGGAATGCAGGAATTCCGGATCTCCGACGCTGACCTAGCGGATGTATTCCCCCAAAAAAGTCCAGGAAACTATAACTTCATTATGTAGAGTGGGTTACAAAGTCTCTCCAATCAAGCTTCGTACATTAAATCCATTCTCCAATCCACCAAGCTTCCAATTCAAGGTCCCTCCCCTTGAAATTGACGAGAGACCATGAGTGCTGAACGTAAACCATTACCGATTTGACTAGGGTTCTCGGACCCTCTCTTGGATTGTGGGTCTCAAAACCTGCCCACCTCACCTTTCATTCTCCTTTTATTGAGTCAATTTGAACCAAATCAAGAATGATTTGGCTCAACACATATTATTCCTATTTTTCCAAGTTGGGAGGCTCCCACGGACACATTAACGTTCTTGCTGACATGACGTCTTTCTTAGATCAGTTTTGCTGGTGATACGTCACGCTTTTTGACATTTTGAACTCTACCATAAACACGATAATTCGGCATATTCACCGTATTTCAACATTGAAGAAATGGGGAGGGAGTTCTTTTATCTTCATATCAAGGACTCTATGGGAGTCCCTTCGTCAAACTCTTCTAAAGTTTCCATACAGTTGTCTATGAAAATAATGCGTCATTTCATGAATGCCAGATATACCTTCCAGTTTCGTTGAAGTGTGCCATTGGCCTAAGCATCCGTAAGTAGATTAGACGTAGCCACCTTATATCGAAATGTCGATGGAACATCTTCAACCGTTTCCCTGCCAGAAAATATAAATAGAACCCATTTGCATTTGCAAGCGTACCGGTACGCGTCAACGCGCGTCATTCCCTTCCCCTATGACCCTACGGCATATGTCGAAGCCCTAGCGCGTCAGGCTAAGGCAGATGGATTCTCGGTCAGATGGGCCGAGAAGTTACTCGATGCGAATGGGTCGGGCAAGGTTGGTGTAGGCCTCCGCGTCTGTCCAAGGGTTACCTATAGGTCTGCTAACTAAGTCTCCTCAGGGCACGTACATTCTATGTTGAATTTCATCCGTAGTATGGAATAAAACAGCTATTTATGTTCCCTCCCGCTTCCCTGAAGAAAGAAAATGTGTGAGAGTGGTACTAGCCTAAGCATCCATTCATGGGTTGAGCTTAGGCCTTCGAAATCAGTCCCCCCCCCCCTGAAACGTACCCCCAGGGCATGGACCCCCCAAAAATGGCATTCGAGGTTGGACTTTCTCTGGAGTCGACAACCTGGCAGCTATTCACGTTCCTTCCGTTTTGTTGAAGGATGTGTGTGCCTGAGAATGTCATAGGCCTGAGCTTTCCGAGGGTTAGACCTAAGCTTAGAGAATGAGACCCCTCGGAATGTGCCCCTGGGGCACTTACCCCCAAAGTTGGAATTTTTCTGGAGTCAGCAATCTAACAGATATTTGTGTACCAAGTTTCTGCCTTTCACCATGTCTAGAACATGGTTAGAATTAGCGTCAGTGAGTCACCATCGTACATATATATTAAATGGGTGACGATGGTGGAAGAATGACGCAAGTATCATTGACGCCAATACATATTTAATGAATCACCTTCACCAGATTGCCTCCCATGCTTGAAAATCACTCTGGGTCTGAATGGCATATTTCTGAATGACATTCAAACTAATCCACCCATTTCTATTCCGAATCAGTTGAAGATTCAGAAGCTGGTGGAATATATTAATTCCTAGTGACATTCTATTCCTTGGATTGATGTAAACCTAAAAATGATTGTAAGCGTACCAATGCAGGAAATAATGACAGGTTTCCCTACTCGCCTCGATTAACCATTTTCATTTGGGTTGTGCAATATTCAACGAATAAGGAAAATATGTAACTGCTTTTGAAACGATGGGCCCTCGACCTGCAGTACCAGCTTTCAACGGTAGCTTAGGAGGCAGAGGAGGAGTCAGAGGAGGAGTCATGAGATAACAGAAATTCCCGTTATAGCGCCAGTGAGAGTCAGTGAGTTTATTGGCTACGTATGACGTTCTCCTTCCGACTCGGAAACGAATATTGAAAAACAAATGGAACCGGATTTACGTCAAATAGATAAGGTTTAAGCCGACCGATAGAAAAAAGGTTGCTCGACCCAATTTAAAGGTGCAGTCTTGAAACGCAGTTGATCGTCGAAAGTAGGAGAGGAAAAAGTGTTTCGTAATCGGCCGAGGCATCTTTCTCAACATTGCTCAACCAAGACGGATTAGCGGATTATTCAGTAATTATATTTGAGAAGACTACAGTTCTGCAAAATGAAGATCCTGATAGTACTCTATGCATTGTCATCCATCCTGCCACTAATCTATGCGGGTCCAAGTAAGTACAAATAATACCACCCTACCAGTGACAGTGAAATATGCATTAATATCTTTCAACTATTCAAAATAACTCGAAATACGTATATTGGCAATAGACTGCCAAGGTAAATATTTCTCCTCAAACGTAATCCTTTTGAGAGTACGAGTATGTTGAAGGCGAGGAATAAAAACATGTTTGCAATTTCTTGATGCAATTTCCATGGGAAAACTAAAGTATGAGGGTCAGTCAAATGAAAACGAGAAAATCGCGATATAAAATAATTCCCTATTGGTGGACTTCCAGTGCATTTTCGCTGAGATTGCGTGAATATATGTCATAGCTGGCAACACCATGCCATCAGAAAGAACGGCGCAATCACTTGAGAAACATGGCGTTCACAGTGCCTCGTGCATCCAAGGAAGCCCGGCGTGTATAGGCCCATCTGGGAGCGTTATGTTTCTCCTCACTCTAGAAAACCCATTCGTGTGTTTTTTTAGTCAAGCATTTGATATTCATGCTTATGTTAACGTTCATAAAGAAGTACAAACATAACTTTTCGGGACCAGAGTAAAGCTGATAGATATTTTTTAAATCTTAATAATTCCATTATGTCACGATGAACTCAGAACATTGACAGGAATACATTGATAGGGAAAATAGTGGGAATTGACAGAGATATCGTGAAGAACGAGTAACAGAGAATACCATTTTTTCAGCAGATGGGGAACGCGTTAAGTATTATTATTGTGTTCCCGTCATCCGCGAAGGAGAAGAATCGTCTTTAGGTTATTTATTTTCCTTAAAGATGAAAACTTAGGCATACCCGGCAGACAGAATAAAATGCTCTCCATTTCTTTAAAGCTGCTCAGGACTGCAATGTAAAGAAGTGGAAATAGTCGGCATGTTACATCTTATTCCCAGGCCAGATATACCTGGATTCTCATTCTGCCGTGTTCTCTTCCCAAACGGTTACATGCTGGAATTGCAAAGCCTTCCCTCATGTTTCACTGGGGGAGACACTCGATTTCCTTAGTGCATTTGTTTCAGCATGTTAATTTGGTAAGAGACTCTATGGTGACTCCTGCCAATAGTTCCTGGAATCACAGAAGAGGCTTCATTTGATGGGGTGAGGATAATTTAAACGGTGTCCCTTCGATAGTGAAGGCAGTGCCTCGCTTCCCTTCCGAAGTTGCAGATTCGGTTAGAGAAATATATAATTAATTATATGCCCTTAGGGTTATTATTTTTTTGTTGGGGGGGGGGCCTTTTTTGCAGTGAGTCCGGCTAAAAAAAAAATGTGAAATTTTTTCAATTTTTTGGGAATTTTGTGTTCACGGAAAATCACAAGAATGAGGAACAGAAAATGAAACGAATGAATAGAAAATAAAAATATGAAAAAAAATCTACGTTTATTTTAAATTGAAAAGTCCGGAAATATATGCAGGACCCCTCGTAGAATTCTCTCCTCTTCGGTGATAAAGATGCGTGTGTATTTCATTTGCAATGATGGGCACGCAACCTGCAACACCCGACTTCAACCATAGCGGAGGAACAAAGAAGGCAGAGGAGGGACTACGGATTACGCACATTCACTTCATGACGTTAGTGAGTCATAGAGAATCGATAACAAAAATGCGGTTCCCATGAGAGTTCCTTCCTCATGAACAACTATTGAAGAAAAATTACGAGGACTTCCGTTCCATAGATAAGGCATACGACAACGGTTATTTAAGGGCCTTCTACAGGCATTTCGAAGGTGCGTAATCGTCAAGTTTGTGAGCGGAAAGGGGACTTCGCTATTGGTCAAGGCATCTTTCTTAATCTTCATCAGCAAAGAGAATACAGGGTTTAGTGCATTATCTTGTGTAATTCTATCAAAGACGACAGCATTTTTAACAAAATGAAGCTCTTGATAGGTCTGTATGCATTGTTGACTATCCTGCCGCTCATCTTCGCCGGTCCAATAATTGTGTCCCTCCAAAGTGTCAGTACAATTTATAATCAACGTCTTCCAAAATGTTGGCATTCTTAGACAAATGTCTCTTGTCAGTCAATAGTCCATACGTTTTAGAATACTTTCAGCACACGTTTGAAGGACGCTTCAACAAACGTGCTATCAATGCAAGTTATGATGTCCATGGGAAAACAACTGCATACGTTTTATTACTCAGAAACGAATATACGATGATCCTCTCAAGAAATTAGCAAAGACCTACTCCTTAAGATCAACATAAACGCAGCAACGTTTAATCCAAAAGAAGCAGCAATAAGTAATCGCAGTCGTAGGAGAACATGAGCTCAACATGACAATTTGTTGATTCCTGGTCATATTGATGGGCTCCTCCTTCCCTTTTCTTCGATAATGAATTCACAAGTTTACTTCATCCTTGGATTGTTTATCTCTTGAATTTTTTATTATAAAAGTATCTAGCAAAGAAGCATTTCTCTTTTCTTTCAATAAGGAAGAGGAGAGCGAGCTCTCGGCGACTCCTGTTTTGGCGATGCTGATTGTGTGACGAACGCAGACCCGAATTCGGAATGCGTGGTTGACCATGAGTCACCAAAGAACCACACCTGCCAGTGCAAGAAGGGTTTCGTGGAGGATGCACTCAGATGCAGTGAGTTTCATGGTTCCATGCTTCTTTTACTATCATTAACTTGTTCTTCTCAGAGTCGGAAAGAACGCCGTTAGCTCCAAGCCATATGTGGAAAAGTAAAAAAAAATTACATAATCTTATCATGAGCTCGTCACACATTTCAAGGAAGGAAAAGCAATACCTCCTGGCATCTGAGTAAGGGGACCTTCATCAAGTCAAAAACATTGCCTATTTCTTTTTACAATTTTCCACTGGAAAATAAACGCAGGTTTCTAATAGCTGGAACCGAATTGCCCATCCATCAAGGACGTTGTACTTATCGTTGTAAGATATACTTAAGTATATCTGACTTACAATTAGAAACGTCAGAAAATGCATACATTTTCCTCCCTTAAGAAAACATTGAGTCAGAAATCTCTAAGACTCAGTTCTCAGCCTTTGCTGGAAAAAATGTGAAAGTCCTCTCAACTGGTGGGCCTTGATTTAGAGGAGGTGGACGAAGAGAAATCACTGAGAAAAAATATTATTCGGAGGTGGCTTGAGATTTGACAGGTATATACGTCAGACTTACAAATAGGGTCAGTACAACCAGCAAAAATTGTAGATAGGCTCTCAACGTCAAACATTAGTGAAGTCAGGGTGAACAATGACAACGAACCGTTTTGGATTCCTTCACAAACTGCCTCAAGGGCAGGTAAGCAAAGGAAGGGGAGGATAAAGGGTCTCCATAGGAAGATGAATCGGCAGTCCTTTCCTTGGGTGAGCAGCTGTTGAATAGAATTATAATGCTCCTGGATGTGCCAATACTTGTCGATTGAGCTTTTTCTAAAGTGTGAGTTGTAAGCAAAGTACCGACATCATCTTGAAAATGAGTTACATTATGAAACTTTTCGAGGGTAGTGAAGCAATATTCAACATTTGCAAAGGAACAAACTCGTGAACGAGTATTTTCCCTCGTGAGTGGGGTAGTTCTATAGAATGAAATCAGTTCTGGTTTGGTGTATGTCAGCGCAGAAACCAGAGACTTGCCTTATTCCGCTCACTTTAAAGAATTCAATCAGTTCAAGCATTAACACTGCAGGAGAATTTTCAATGGAACATGATGAACATTTCAGGGAAGGTGAATGCAACACTCCATGAGTATTGTGAACCAGGGAATGGGGCATGCCAAGATCCCAATGCTGAATGTGTTGACCAGCAAGGCTGGGTAACATGCGAGTGCAAGCAAGAATTCGTGGATGATGGAGGCATTTGCCGTAAGTTTCAATTCACGTTATTTCAATGAGTTGATATTAAAGATATCATAAGCATGCGGCTTCGGTGGTTATTATGACGTAAGGCGCTAGTCAATTGTAATTCCCAACAACGAGGAAAGGGGTTTGTCTTGAGTCCTGAGGCAGCTCTTGCCTTCCTTTTGCCCGTAGGCAAAAGTGGTTGCTCAGTGCTCAGTGGTTTGGATTACCTGGTGTTGGAAAACGATTCAATTAAATGAAGAGCATGGCAAAGGAAGGTCTTGCAAAATGATACTCAAACGCTGCACTCAGTCTCTTCTTTCGAAAATTCTACGTATGGCACTACGAAAGCTGCTACTCCGGTGCTCCATTCCCCAGAAATTATGCATACTAACTGTTTTAGACATACTAACTTCGCTCGCGTCGCTACGCGACTCTTTTGATGATGTGACTTCTCTTGCAAGGGGTAAGTCAGAAGTTATCCAAATCAAGCATCAAAGTCTTCAAATTTAATCCTTCATATTATGAAGAAGGGAAAGAAGGTAGGGAGCAATTAGGAAGGAAGAAAACGACGGCGCGCGCGACCTTGAAGCCAGCTGCTGAGGATGATTTCCGTGGGTGGCACGGTATAGGTTCGTTTTGGCAACTTTTTTTTTCTGTATGTTTTTTTCAAACGGCCATGACTCTTCTCCAAATAAATGAAGGAGCCTAAAACCATACATTTTCAGAAAGAGGATGAAATGAACTTTCTTTTGGTTTTTTTTTCGACTCTGTAGCCCAAACCGTTCAGGAGACATTCACATTTGTATACAGGGGCAAAAACCTTTGGCCCACCCTTTATATTGTGACGTATGAGGATGGGATTCAGGGAGGCCCCTGGATGTCTCGGGTTCGGTGGTGTAGTGGTAGCGCATCTGACCGGCAGTTAAGAGGGCCTGGTTCAATTTCCGGCCTTTGCATGGCTTTTTTTGCCTTCCATGTCCCGATACTCATTCCCCTCCATAACGCTATTTTTGCTTGAGTAAAACGGAGAGACATGGCAAGTTGAAACCCGGCATGAACGTGCCTACCGAGACGTTGAGATCAGGAAAATGCAAAATTTTAGATCCATGCTGCGGGGGGATATTTTTTGGGGCCGACGTTTTCAAGTATTTTTTTTCTTGTCCTGGCGTATTGAGCTCGTGTAGAAAGATAAAACTTGGTACATGACTACCTATTGGGATGCTGCGTTCAGAGCAATTCAGACTTCGGAAGTAAATGCCCTGGGGGCACAATTTTCAAAGGGATATGTTTTCAAATAATATTTTCGTATCAGTTAAACTGATGAAGATGGAAAGCTGAAACTTTGGATGAATGTGGCTACCGAGACAAGAGTAAAATAAAAATGTTAAGTCTCGATACATCCCCTGGGGGAATTTTTTCGAGGGGCGATGTTTTCAAAAAACATTGTCGTGGCGAATTGGACAGAAATGGGCAGGAGAAACTTTGCACACGTATAAGTGACATAATATTATTGAGTTGAGAGAGTATTCAGTTTTTATGGTACATCCCCTCTGGGCATATCTTTTGGGTGGGTCTGCTATTCCAAACATGTTTTTTCACCAGTGAAAATGGCAAACGTATATTATCGAAACTTTTTGGTTCACTGAGGATGGGTTTCAGTAATAAAAAAATGTCCTTTTTCTATTAAAACGACTAAGGGTACATATTTTGCAAAAGGCGTATTTTCCCAAATTTTCTGATCCAGTAAAACAGAGGGCGCTAAAAAGTTTAAACTTGGCAAAAAGTACCTAATGGGTAGCTGAATAAAGAAACAATTCTACTTTTATTATATATAGACGATCGTGAGTAGCTGACTGACAAAAGTAGAATTACCCCTGTACTCAGCCATCAAACTGGTACTTCTGATGGGAATTTTACCTTTTCTGTCACTGTTTCGTTGGATCAAATAATAATTCAGGAAAATGGGACTTTAAAAAGTGCACTGATGTGTTTTTGTTAGTTTGCCCTGATGTGATTTTTTTATTCTGAAATGTGAATTCATGGAACTACATGCCACCCAGTTTCAGAATTATGTTTCCTCTTTTTACTGGCGGTAAAAAATATATTTTTGGAAAAGCGACTCACCCAAAAGCTGTGCTCTGAGGAGACGCACAGGAAAAGTTGAATTTTTCCCTAAATCAACATCACGTCCGTTATGCGTGCGCCAGCAGTTACTTTTCTATTTCTGCCCGATCCGCTAGTATTAGATGCATGAGACCCATTCTACCTTACGAAAAGGGACACAAGAAAAGATTTCAAGTTAGGTACACTAGAAATCATAGAAGTAAGCATTTTGATAAAATTGAAGACTTTCGTCCCCATATGTCACGTATTTCAATATGGACATACTTTAAATACATGTTTGCCATTTCGCAAAAAATGAATGAATTAATCACTATCCAAGGTGATGGAGTGCCGAAGGTGCGACCATTGCGAGTTTGTAGAATAGTTAGTATTAGATATAGACGATCTTGGCTGACTGAGTGACAGACTGACGCTAATTCAAACCATGTTCTTCAGAAGTTAGAAATCTTAAACATGGTACACAGTTTCCTTTTGGGATGCTGGGATCAGAAAAAATTCGACTTTGGAGGTACATGCCTTAGGGGCATCCATTTTGGGGGAGATATTTTCAATGATATATATTCGCTTGAGTTAAATGGAGAGACATGGAAAGCTGAAAATTTATATGCACGCGCCTACTGAGACAAAAAGATTAGGAAAAATGTCAGGCCTCAGATGCCTGGGGCCTGTTTCTTGGAATTTATATGTTCTACAAGTTACAAGTTAAAAGTACTTGCAATGGTCGTGCTCCTTGTTTAACTCTTCCTGCCGGTCCCGCTGGCCCTTCATACAAATACAACACGACCCTTGTAATTGCTAGTAACTTGTAACTTGTAAAACTTGTAAATTCCATTAAATAGGCCCTTGGGGGGCATTCTTTTCATGAGTGAAGCTTTTAAGTAATTTTTTTTTGTCCTACCGAATTTGTCAGAGATATAAAGGTGCAACGTGACAATGACGTACTGACTGAGACTCTGAGTTCAAGAAAAATGCCAAGTTTTGCATACATGCCCTTGGTGCATACTCTTTGTGGGTGACGTTTTCAAATAATTTTTTTTATGCACTGAATTGCGCAGAAATAGAAATGTGAATTTTGGCGCAGCAATAACACAACTTTTTCCGGTTTCGGCTGTTCGAAAGATATTCTTGCACCAACAAAAGGAGCAAACGGATAAGTCTGAAAATCGGTATATGTCCGTAGTTCTCCGAGTACTGATTTCAGTGGAAAAAATATTACCTTTTAGGTATAACCCTTGAGGGCTTTTTTTTCCAAAAGGTGCATTTTCCGGAAACTTTTCAGATTCAATGAAGGAGAGAACTAAATAAAGTTGAAACTTGCAGCAGAAGTATCTGTTCGATTGCGGAGCACACGTCCTACTTTTCAAATATTACCCCTCAGGGCAGATTACGAAGAGATTAGAAGTTAGGCGCACGATAAACAATTTGAGTAATTATTCCGATGAAAATTTCGTTGTTTTTTTCTCCCTCGATACACATTCGACGGGCATGTATTTTGAATAGATTTTTGCCACTTTGAAAATAAATTGTTGAATTAATTGAAAATTGTTAAATCTATTGGGTATGAGAAAGGTCTATGCTTTTGGCGGGTTCACAACTTCCCTAGGGAAATTTGAAGTGGGGTTTGGGGTCATTATCAATGAGAAAAGGAATTTCGCGGATTTTAAAGTGATTACATGACACAGGATTTATTGGAGACCTGATCTGCGTTATCATACCAGTTGGAGTTGGAACCACTTTTCGGTATGTCAATGCGGGAAGAAATGTCTCACCGCAACCCAGCCCAATGCATTCAACTTGGAACTCCTATAATGAGTGAAAACATGGAACAACTGGATTGAGAATGTAGTTGCAATTGTGTTTTGTGTACAGGGGTGCAAGCTGGAGAGAACTGCACACAAAATGAAGATTGCGTTTCTAATTCCACGTGCCACCCGATTACACACACGTGCAGTTGCAAGGAGAGCTTCGTGGCAGACACTACTGGCTTGTGCAGTGAGTTGGCATCCGTATCCCACATTAACAGTGTTATAGGTCAGCATGCCTTTCTTTGGAAGCCAGCACTTTCTCACTCAAGGAAGAGAATGGCTTCAGATCACGAATACAGGTAAAATCTCGTTATAGCGAACCTGGAGGGACTTAAAAAAAAATTAGCTATACTGAAAATTTCGTTACAGTGGTATTCGTTACAACGAGATTTTACCTGTATATTGTTTTTAGGCTTATAAATGCATAATTTTTTTCATCGGCTTGAGTCTCCCATGAATTTCAGTCGTGTGGCTGGTCGAGCTTATCTATTGTTTAACTGTGGCACTGGCAGATGTACTTAAGCCAGGATTGCTTCTGGAATATTAGATACTGTCTTCAATACTTAGATCTGCAGCTATAGTACATGACGGCAGAAACAATTCTGAATAGGGTTTGGCTTTCTGATTTGATCTCCCAGTGTTTCTGAGTTCAGAAGCTGGGCATTTTCTGCTGCCCTTGGGTAATTTTCAGCCGGTATCAGTAACAAAAGTAAATTAATTTACACTATCATGGTTGGGGGCAGTTTACTGCGAAGTCACTTAATTGCCTATACCGCCAATATTTTTGTTTTTATTAGGCTCATTAATGACACCTGCTCTCTGATGTTGTCAATATCAAATAATATTGATAACTTCCTCCTAGCTTCGATAGTGGCAAGTGGTTGAATGAACTTGAAAGAAATGAGCTCAAGGCGAAACGTCATGGACAGTAATTCTTTGAAACTACTACAAAATATATTTTTGAGAGCAGCGTCGATACTTTGTTTTGAGCTATACATTTCGATATTCTTCGGAAAACAAAGCCATTGATTCGACGGACAAGGGAATAATGTATTTGTGGAACAACCGGATCTATCGGAGGTTTAATCTTTCTCCGGTTTGTTTCTCTTCGGGAATTTTTTACAAGCATGCATAGCTCTGAGAAAATAGCCTGGCATTCTTTGCTCGTTCGTTTACTTGAAAATATTTTGGCGTGAATCAAAAGTGGAGAGAGGAGAGAATGTTTTCTTATAAAATTTAAGCATATTGCTCATTAATATAACAGTACAGAGGTTGTTTTCTTGGTCGATGTTCGAAGGAAAAAAAAAGTGGCTATCGGTTTTAATTGTGTTTTCCTTGGTTTTAAAGATGGATGGACAGGTCTTTCGTGCATTTATGTGTAGGGGAAAATGAGTCCTTTATTATTGAGTAAATAGGAAAATGATAGGAAATCAGGCTGGACTGGATGAGTGAGAAATATATATTTAAAATTCCCAAGCGTGCCGTAAATAGAGTCCTTCACGGGCTCCCCTTCAAGTCTCTGCCGACGAGAAAGGCTTTGATTACTTCTATGACTCGTAACAATAGACGAAGTACAGCTAAAATTTTCCTCAAGTTCTTATGTTTTCTACATGACGTCATTCCTTTATTTTGTAACGCAGGCAGATGAAGCTTGAAAAACATGTTACTCTACTTTCTAGCTCTGCATGTACCATATTTGAAGCTCATTCTACATTTCATTTGGGAGATCTAAGCCATTATTTCATCTGACATTTTTCTCGGATTTCTTCATGGCACACGCGTAAGGGGTTAATCAGCGTTTCCATAGCAATTAGTGTTGGGACCACTACTTTTGATGTCAGTGCAGGAACAAGTGTCCTATCGGATCCCAACCCCTGCATTGAACTTGAAACTATCATTGGTAAACATGTGGAAAAATTGGGTTGGGAATGAAGCTGCAATTGTATTTTCTTTCCATGCAGAGGTGCCAGCTGGAGGGAACTGCAATGTTTTGGCAGACTGCGTATCTAATGCTACATGCAACATGTTTACCGATACGTGTGATTGCAGGTCCAACTTCTTGGATGACATTACTACTGGCTTGTGCAGTGAGTTCGAATAATTATCTCACATGGACATGTTGCGGGTGCGCACAGAAAAATCATTATTTTCTTCGGAAGCCTTCTCGTTCTCCTTCGAGAAAAGAAGCGCTTGCTGATGACAAATATAATATTAATTGATATGTCAACATTTGTTATATGTTACTGTAAGTCAAGCAATGGAAAATGAAGGCAGTTCTAATCAAAACTAAGTGTGAAATGACTCCTTGGCAAACAACCGTACAAGAATAACCTCATTAATGTGAAATGGGCTTTTCCCGTTTGCGACGTTATTCAAAGTAGTGGCTATAATCCTGGTTTAATACCAGCCAACAAAGCATAACTGCAGTATAGTTACAATTTAAAAGTTTACGCTCAGAAAAATGTTATTTTAGACTTTTGTTCCACTTGTGTAGCTCCCTTGGAAATATTTTTTTTCAGAGAATTATCACAGCAAGATGGAATGGTCATCCATATCCTTCAATAAGAGGAACTAATATTACCGTATGGTATATTATAGGGATAGGACAGAAATTTCCAGGGGAGTCACATATGCATTCCTCATTGTATTTTGCAATCAATTTCAACAATTAAGGCAGAACCATGCATTAGTCTAACAAAGTAATTTCCAAAACAAGATCCCCAGTAGCACATAACATTTAATCAACATAGAATAAGCAATGAATCAACTGTAGTAATCATTCAATCAATGTTTATTCAACATTTTTGTGCTACTAGGGATCATAGATGAGGGATGAGGTGAACGTAAATTTCAATGAGAGTTGTGGCCCAGGACATTCAGAAAAACTCCAGTGTGCCATAGCATCACCATCATGTGAAACACTTAAATCTAATTTTTTTATTTTAGGGAAGAACTACCGGCCTACCATTGCCGAGGCGAGTCAAGGGTGATATATCCATTCTTAAGGGATGCACGCTTTAAAGGGCGCTTACTAGGGAGTAGCTAACCCAGGACCACGAAATACTCCCGTAAATTTTCCCACTGGGTATATTGCACAAATTGACCTCTTCACCCAGCTGATGCGAAAGGGAAACTCTTTACTTGTCATACTACATTCCATAGACATTCAATTATTATCTCTGCTTTGACGAAGCAGCAAACTACCTAAACGCACATTGTTTCAAACGGTACCGGGTATCGCCAATATCTCACAATTTCGAAGGCCATCCCTGCCATGATCTGTGGTAGCGAGCTAATGCGAAATCAAATTTAGGTTTTAACGTATTCTAAAGTTGAACTATGAAAACACCTTATTAGGCATGTCTGTATCGTATTCTTTCCCTACCCAGAATTGAGAATTGGATTCCCATGCAAAGAAACGGAAGATTGCTTCAGCAACGCCTTATGCACAGGAAATGCTGAAGCCCTTACATGCCAGTGCAAATCCGAATTCGTGCTACAAGATCAACGTTGTAGTGAGTCACCATTCTTACATACTCCACTTGTGTATTTTTCTGAAATTCGCAGGATGGTGTCAGATTAATTCTAGGAAATCAATGTCAGGTACATAATTGCGCCACCATGCCATTCAATTTTGGTATCAAACCTTCCTTGACTTGCATTTCAACGAATTCAACGAAGGATGTCCTTACCATTTCCTTTTGCAGAGGTACCAGCTGGAGATACTTGTTCGACAATGGACATTTGCGTGAACAACGCGTTCTGCAACGGATCAACAGGGAATCAAACGTGCAGCTGCAAGCCTGCTTTCGTTTCAGAAGAAGGAATTTGCAGTGAGTCAATATCCCTAGCCATTCTAGCTCGCATTTTTCAAGTGCATTTATGACATGACATTGACTCAGATGACATTGGAAGAAACCAAAGAGGAATACATCCTTGTGCATTCACTTTTGCAAGATAAATTACAGCGCCACTGCCTACAGCGAATTGCACCATGAACGTACTCAGTTGCAGATGTGTTCTTTCTGTACAGAGATAGGCGCTGAAGAAGAATGCTTATCAACGGGGGCATGCGTGAGTAACTCAATCTGCTCAGGAACTGCTGAGACTCTCATATGCCAATGCAAGTATGGATTTTTGGCATTTGAAAGACTCTGCCGTGAGTCGAACTCCCTATTCGTTCACTTCAGTGCATTTACAGTGAGTACGTTGCCTTCATTGAGCACGTGCGTGTTCTCTTTGAAAAGTTTGTTCTCACTGAAAGGAACAGCATTTGTCAAAAATATATACAGTATAATGACTTGACGTATCAATGATTACATATTGCGGATTTGACAGTTTATTAGTAATTTAAAGTCAGGGAATTCTTATCCGATTGAAGCACATCGTGCAAATGGTAGATGACTTTAAAGTATTATTCAAGGAATCGCAGAGGGAACGCGTGAGCAAGCACTTTTCCTTATGAGTGACGTAGTTCCTACATGCAATGAATTTAGTTTTACTCGGTAACGTGAATAAGAAAAATATACAGGGTGTTAAGAAAGTTGTGTCCCATCACAATATGCCTATAACTTCAGCAAAAATGTGAAAATCAGGAAAAAATTTTATACACAACAAAAAGGACAGTTAACTGATTTAGAATCACTTAATAGTTTTCAATATAGCCACCCGTGGTGCAAATGACTAAGTTCAGATGACCCATGAAAGCATCGACTGATTTTCGGAAGTGTTTCTGTGGAATTCTCTCCCCATTCTCCGTTCAGGGATAGCTTGAGAGAATCCAAAGAATGGCGTTTTGTAGCTAATTTTTTGCTCTCCAAGATGGACCATATTGAAAAATCTAAAACTGATTTTTTCAAGCCACTCAGCATCACTGGGCAACTTCTGTAATGGTCTGGGCCAGGATTACCGCACTCCGCTCGTTTTCGAGCCTGAGAAGATGGTCAACGCTGATGTTTACCGGAAAAGCAACCTGGAAGACTGCCTGGTTCCGTGAGCCACTAAATATTTCGATGGAGGACTCCAGCAGGACTCAGGGCCAGCTCACAGGGCACGGATGACCCAGGAGTGACTATGGACGAATGTCCCCGACTTCATTTCGATTTCACAATGGCCCCCATACTACCTCAATGTGAACACCCTAAATTTTCCAATTTGGTCCATCTTGGAGAGCAATGTGTGTGCTACAAACCACTGTTCTTTGGATTCTCTCAAGCTATCCCTGAACCAAGAATCGGAGCGAATTCCACAGGAAGTCTGGCGAAAATCAGTCAATGCTTTCATGGGTGGTCTGAACCTTGTCATCCGTAGCGGCGGACAAGCAAAAATAGGCTGGTCGTCAACGTGTTAATGGATTCTAAATCAATTAACTGTCCTTGTTATTGTGTATTTAAAAATTTTCCTGATTTTTGAATTTTTGCTGAGGTTATTGGCATATTGCAGTGGGACACAACTTTCTTAACACCCTGTACATGATATGGCTTCATTCTATGCACTTGATAGCCTTCATTTTGTTTAATGCATTAGTACACAAGAACATTTAAAAAAATGAAAGATTATGCGAATTCCAGGGATGGCGAATGCAGAACTCAATAAAGAGTGTTACCCTGGGGACAGCGCTTGTAGAGATCCCAACGCCAAATGCGTTGGCGATGAAGGCTCACGAACCTGCGAGTGCAATTCAGGGTTTGTGGCAGAGAAAGGCATATGCAGTAAGTTTCATGGAGTTGCTTCAACTACCAAGCATGTGGCTTTACCGTCTTTGGTTCCCAATTGATATTCTCACAAATCCTCTAGAAAATTTGAAGATGAGAACTCCATCTTCCCTCTAAACTGTGATGGAAAGTCTTCAAGATTGATTAAAGTGTATAAACTATAACTTAGTAATTTAATTATATATTTTTGTCATGTCTGTAATGTCAAGTCTAGGCATTCACGAAACATTTGAAATATTATTTTTGAAAATACTTGAATTTCGTGTAGAAATTGCAGGACATGTCCGTAGCTTTAAAAAATATTTAAATTTCTATTAGTTGAAATTCACCGCATCTAGCAACTTCATTTCCTCATTCTAATTCGGATGCTAATGACCTGTAATGAACTCTTCCAAAGCCTACAAAGGGCATCATGAGAACCGTTAACAAGTGGAGCATCGAGTGGGAACGACTCTCGTCACTCTTCATTTTAGTGGACCTTCTGAATGTCGTTGCGTCTTTGAATTGAAAAAGGCAAAAAAATCTCCGAAATATATGAGTAATTATCTAGCATCCTGCACTTCATACTCTCCTCCCATCTCCACGCGACGCGGACGCGCGGACAATCGCGAACATGTCTAGTTTTCTAGACCTTTTCATATAGGCCTATGCCGAACCAATGACAGCCATTATATTTATTGAATATTTCAAAGTTGGATGATTAGGATGCGGTGAATATGATAATTCCAGTGGTGTAGGGGCCAGTGGAATGGCAGATCTATACCTGGGTTGATGCTCTTTTGTGTGAATAACGTGCATAATTCCTTGTCTAATTAGGTGTCAGTCAAGTTTATCGTTTTTCCCTGTATCGCACCTCACAGAGAGGCTCTGACATTGTTTCTATGACAGTCACGCAGATGTTAAAGTCTTTATTCTCCAAGAAAAGACTATCCTGCGCTGTTTTCGACTGAACAGCTTCGATAAATGAGGCAAAAGAGCGCCCTCGATATCATTAAACTTTTTAGAAACTTACGAATTCCTCCAAACGCAAAAATCATATCAGGAATATATACAACTGAGTTTCATTGCGTACATATGCATAGAACGGGACTAGACAAGTGCAGCATTAGTCGGACAATGTCGGAGAGTCAAAGAGTGCGTTTGTGATCCAAGAGGAGGTTTTTTTTCTTAAATACAGATTAATGAGTGGAAATCGTACAATCATTTCCATTAATGGACCTTTACCCATCTAATAAATTGGACGGTTACTAGTTTGTGTGCCACAGTCCCTTCTGTCAATATTCCAGCGATATGTCACGTAACAAGTCAACAAACCAGAAAAACGTTAAAATACAGTATGTAGACAGAGTAACCTGGAAAAGGATGGCGGAGTTAAGTATGAATACCCTTGACATGCACATAATAATGATGAGCATGATACAGCCGTGCCGTGAAAGCAATTTGGTGCCCATTCGCTGGTAACTCATACCTGGTCAGTTCGCCCACCTCCCACGTTGTGAGTGATATCTATTCATAAATTCATGTGACTAACATTTTTCGAAGGCATTTCCCTTTCTTAACCCAACATCCTCTTCCTCTTCCCTCACCTACCCCTCACAGCGCTGATTGATGAAGGTGCCCTCTGCAAGCTCCTTAAATTCATATTAATCTTGACTTTCTTTCGCGAGCTTAATATCTTACATTTCAAGCGAAATTATGTCTCCCGATACCCTCAGAGATTGAATTGTCCCTCCTTTGAATGAAACATCTCATTGCCAATTATTTTCTTTGCACAGAAGTAGCAGCTGAAGTAGGATGTACCTCAACTGAATCATGCGTGAGTAACTCCGTTTGCTCAGGACCTGCTAACAATCGAACATGTCTATGCGACACTGGATTCGTCCCAGAAGCTGGATTCTGCAGTTAGTAAACATCCTTAACTCTCTTACTTGAATGGATTGCATGGTGTTTAAGAGAATCCATTTTAATATTTATTCTTGAGTCAACAAAATTGCGAAAGATAACAACGAGCACAACGCTATCTGTGACTTGTATCGCGAGAACACCCAATGAAACTTGGTGTTCCCTTCTCTTTCTTGAGCAGAGGTAGAAGCTGGTGGAATGTGTATGACAACAGATATATGCGTGCTGAATTCCGTCTGCTGGGGAACACCTGGAAATGGCCAATGCGAATGCTTCAATGGATACTTGGCTGAAGAAGGACTGTGCAGTGAGTCAATATTCCAAACCAACACTCAAAACACTGTTTCGGATGCGATATTAGTCATGTCAGTGATTATTTTCCACAAAAAAGTATTACTTTCCTTTATCATTGTGCGCTTGTTTCATTTAAAAATGGAGGATTTTACGTTAGCTAGCGACTATTTTGCTTCCCTGAAAACTTTAACTGTAACTAAAAGGACATTGGAAATATGTCATTGAGAGAAACCATTTCAGGTTCAATCCTTATTAACAATCCATAGTTGCAAGGAGATCCATGAGAAAGATCATCAAGATGATTGAGAACTAGCTCTTTTTCTTAATTCTTAACTATTGTTTCAATGAAAAATAGGAAAATCTTCTTGACGGCGTTTGAATCAATTTTCATGGTTTTCTTTAATCCCATTAACAAATCAATAATTTAATCTCCTGGTTTATTTTTTTTCAAAGAATTTTAATGTGATGGAAAGAAGAAAGACCCAGCTACAATATTTTTTTCTCCAGACATAAGTATCCCAAACGTTGACTTTAAAAAATGGAATTTCGGTTTTAAAAAATAAGCGCAACGCTCACCGACTACATACGACGGCAGACATATTCAATCATCCACACAACGTCTGCTGAGGTCAGCGTTTCCCTTCCCTTCTCGTGAGTGTCGGATCGCCTAGGAAATGGGTTGAGCCAGTGACCGCAATGCCGATTTTTCGCAATATAAATGCAATAATATTTTTTCCAAGTCATCGTTTAAGGCGTTTCAAGTCTGAGAAAAACATTTGTAGCAGTCTTCTTTACATTAAATGTAGCCGAAAATTATTTCCTTGAAGCATCACACAAAAAATGCACATGGAGAAGTGCACCTTTTTTGGACCCCTGTATACAGTATAGTTGAAGGTATAGTATATCCCATAGCCATAATATCATTGAGATCGTTAAGAAGGTTATCGTGTTTCGATATTTTATAATTTCAAGTTACAGAAAATCCGAATGAGGAAGTCAGGTAAGCTTCTAAAATATAGAATTTCTGTGAAGTACAGTCTATACCTATGTACTGATACACCATGGATAGATGCAATGTTTTGGAGGATACGTTTGGCACACTATAGATTAATTCATAGTTCATGGTATAACTGCTCCTACAAAACGCCCACCTGCATTCATCTGGAAAATTTCTCTCTGCAGAGACGAAAGCAGGGGAGTACTGTATAGACAAAACTGATTGCACGAGCCACGCCAGCTGCAAAGGTGAAACAGGACTTCAAAGTTGCCAATGCGACGAAGGCTACGAAGCTGATTCATCCACTGGACGATGCAGTGAGTCTTCCTCCTTGACGCTTTCAAGCTTATCCATGTGGCTATCCATCCGGCAAGACGTCGACATTATCGTTCCATAGTTCTTGCCCCCGTGGCAAATTCTATTTCCGAGCGTTACGGAGATGATGCTTGTCGATGAATATTTTGGGACAGCTTATCTGAATGCATTAAATGACAAATCTGTCTCCTGGTTAGAAAAGGTAAGAAAAGGGTCTTGAGACGATATCCTAATAATTGGTCTCACAACTCTTCATTTTGTGAAATATGATTTCGTATCTATGTGAAATGCAGCATTGAATCGTTTTTTCTTCTGGCTCGCTGATGTCCTGTAAGATCAGTCTTGTCATTCTCCTAAGCTATGCATTTTCAACCACGCCATGGTTCAGGAGCAAAGGCGTAGGTATGATAGCACAGTGTCAATGGTTTAAACACCCGGAAATTATAGCCAAAGTTGTGCTTTAGGATCCGGGTTGATGTGCAGATTTAATACCGGCAGCATATACAGCTCACAGAGCATGAGTACAACAGAGGAGCGCTACAAGCATTCCCTCTTCAATTCGAGTATGAACGCATCCGTCCCATCCGCTGGTGTTTTAACCAATTGAATTGTTGCCTTGAAGAAATACTTCAAGGAATCTGAGACATCAACCATGTCGGCCCTGGCTGTTCGAAAACGCAATGAGCAGTTTTTCACAAAACGATTGAGGGTTTGAAGAGTTTAGAAGAAGCAAGCCAGTTGAGTATGTAATATATTTCTCGGCGAAAGGAAATACATTCTGTCAAAACGTCTCCATTCGCAGAATCTGAAGCTGCACTAGCCGGTGTCATGATGGAAACTCGCAGATTCTGGCAAGAGATGCGATCAGTGAAAAATCTGTAATAGTTTTTTAACACTTTCTCCTGGAAAACAAGAATAGTTCTCTTCAAAATTCAAAATAAAACGTAAATTCTGTATTTTTTAGCTAACACGTTTAGCAAAATTTAAATTTCCACGATTCAGCAGTTTATCCGGGGGACCAACGCATTACATCCCATATTTGAGAGAGATATCGCGCTCACCTCGCTTCCCAAGCTGAATCGATAACTAAAGCGCAGCCACATGAAATCAAGGTAAATGTTGGCTGGTTGACAGCAGGGCATTAATGGCTCGCTAGCTGTCAGTATTATTCCAGCAGACACCACGGGTAGTGAAAAGCGGTTGTGCGTAATTCATTCATTTATCTGACTGATCGATATTTCAAAAAGGTATAATGTGTTGAACAAACGAATGCATTTGAAGAGAGCGAAAAAGGCTACTTGCGTCTGCTTCTATTTCGCAGGTTCGGGAGTGGTGACTACGATCTCCATGGGCATCCTCACCATTGCCTCCATGTCAGTCGCCTTGTTTAGATGATCTATTTCCTCACAACTATTGGTCACATATGACGAATAAATCTTTTATTTATGCAAAGTTCCTCCCTGTTTCTAATCCAGTAGAATACATATTGACTAGTCGACCCTTGGATGACTTCCACGAACTCTTTGACAAGAGTTCTCGAGTTCACTCGGCGGCCCTAAAACATAGTGGCTCTCTCGACGCAATAGGCAGCAGCTGATCTTTCCCTTTATTGACCGGAACCAATTTCTCGGATTAATCGACACTTTTACCTATTGATCACAACCCTGCCCGCATCCTCCGTAAAGTCCATCGCCATCACATCTCATGCAAATCTATGAGTTTAAAATACAAATATGGAAACGGGGTGTTAACGACGCCGCCGGCGGCGTCCTGGTGATCAGGATAAGCCTCCCTGTTCTATCCCACCTCGATGGGATCCCGTTGCTTTCACCCTAGGGAGTTATTCTAGTTCACACGGAGGAAAACTAAATTCCGAGTATCGTATGTGAGTTTTCTCGCGTGAAAGGACGTATCGAGAGATGAACACCCCTTTACGGGGGGGGGGGCAGGGTTGTGATCAATAGGTAAAAGAAATGGTTTCTCTCAATGACATATTTCCAATGTCCTTTTAGTTACAGTTAAAGTTTTCAGGGAAGCAAAATAGTCGCTAGCTAACGTAAAATCCTCCATTTTTAAATGAAACAAGACGCACAATGATTCTCTCTCCCATTCTCAAAGGTAGATATGACAGTCGCGAAGGCCGGAGAGAGAGCGCGACCTCAAACGCGTGAGATGGGCACCCATCCACGAATTGTTTCTCGGACATTCCTGAGTTTATTCGACAACAATACAAATCAGCGGCCCTCTCAACGATATAAGCAGCAGCCGCTCTATCCTGTTCTCGAAAATGACCTGACAGTGGAAGACTTCGACGTACTTCGGGTCGGTCTAGGCCAAGGGTGTCTAACTGCCGACGAGCTATTTCATCTCGTCCGAATCACAAAGTTCTCTTCAACAGTTGGCTTTGGAGAAGCGTTGACTTTTTCAACCTGTTTGCAAATCTTGCACTAAAGTTTCAATTGCTATGTGGAAACCAAAAAAAGGGAAGGAAAAGGGTTCTATCCGTCCCCCCAGCTTAATCAAGCTTGACATCTCTGGCCTTGCCTAATCGTGTAACATTGTCGGGAATCTACGAGTTCATTCAGCGGCTCTTTGAACAATACGCGCAGCCGCTCTATGCCGTTCTCGAGGACGGATCCGACAGTCACGAAGGCTCGAAAGAAACTGCGAGTTCTAGAGCGAGACGGGGACAGCAACTCGTGGAAGACATCCACGACATCCGGGGCAGCCGAGGCTAAGCGTGTAGCATTTTCGAGTATTCACGAGTCCAGTCAGCGACCATATTAACGCTCTACGTAGCATCCGCTCGGACATAAGAGAGTTTTGGCTACCCGTTCTTAAGAGGACAGCAAGGGATGTAGGACGGCTGACGTGATTGGTGATGCCACCGGCAGTTTTAAAAACGCGTGAGGAAGACGTCTAAGACGTGGAGGGACTCCTCCAGCCGTTCTCTCAGGAACGTTATCGCGACGCAATATCCACCAATCATGAACGACTTTATAGGCGCGCGAGCTTCGGTACAACGCGCGATTCGTTCAAATCAGTCATCCAAGAAGGAAAGCTACTATTGACTGAGTCGCTGAAAATCAAGGCACAGTATGCCCAAGTTGGATTTCTAGACCGTCTCGGGTCTGCGGCAAGGGTTTCCCGACAGATAAAATGTACGTTTTGCTCGAGATGGGTTTCTTGACAATTATCTCACATCCACAACTTGGGTTTTAGCTAAATATCCCCCAGGACAGCAACTGACATCCTCCCCATCAGAGAAGTAGGATACAACCCAGAAATGAACTTCGGTTGCTTCGCCATTAGAGACGTCAGCATAATATGTTATTGAGGATGGCGAATGATGGGAACATAGGACAGAGGAACTCTGTTAGTAGCCAAGGTTTGCAATGTCTACATGCGACCATGATGAACAGACAAAGGAGTCAAGAACATTAGTTCAATAGGCAAACTGAAGAATTCGTTCCTAATGTGAAAAATCATTCTTAAGGAAAGAAAATTTAATTGCAGTAGATCAAAACAAGAAGGAAATGCATAACATTAAGATACCTGGGGATTTGTGAGTTTACCAGTTTGTACCTTAGCTGTGTATCACTGAGTCAACCATACCCTTAAATTTGGTGTCATATGCACACGATCTGCAGAGAGATCCGTGGAAGTTCCTCTCGTTCCAGATCTGGAACGCGTAGCCAAACTCCCATTCGAATATCTAGAACTTGAACGCCTAGTAATACGTTCGCGTCCTCATCCTGCTCAAAAACGGGTAAACAAAACTCTCTAATGTCCGCATCGAAGTGTGAACACCCGCTATTCGGTATGGAGGGGGAATGCGCAAGACTTCCAATTCTTCTCTCTCCCTTTCTCGAGATGGATCCGACAGCCGCAATGGCCGAAGGGAAAGTGCGAGCTCCAGAGAGAGAGACAGACACCCGGAGACGGGCAGAAGAAGGCGCTGCGCATGCGCACATGGTGCTGCGTACATGCAGACGCCCAAGCATAATATACAGGGTGTCCTAAAAGTCGCTGTACCGAGATGATACGTTCCAGAAAAAACAACTCCATTTACAACCAACCACCAGGAGAAAGTGACAATGAAGAGATGCAGAAATTGTTCAAATTGTTGTCTCTCATGTTCAATGCACATTTCACATCTACAAATAAAAATCTGAACACAAGTGAAAATAATCACAGTTAAACATATCACCGTCTCGGTAAAGCGACTTTTAGGACACCCTGTACAGTACATATAGATAATGTCTGCTATGCAATGACACATTTCAAAGAGCCCCTACAGCTTTACGTAAAGCTTCCATTCATTCAAAGATAAGGGTACTTGCTCCTGTTCAATTCCTTAGCTCACTTTTTCATGACAAATGCCTCCTCTTGAAAGGACAGCCGCACAACAGCACAATAGACAATAACGAAAGCAATGAGACCCAAACTTGGGAAGAGTTGGAAAACCCGTGGTTCCATGGAACAAGAGAGATAACATTGCACAATGGCGGACTTTTTGTGACGAATTACTCCTTGATGCTTCACGACCGTACGATTTGTTTTTTTTTTACTTTTCCGGCCTAAGGGGTAAAATGAGGTCTGAAGAACGTGAATGTTATTTCATTTTTCTACGTGATCTCTTGGAACAGCAACGCATTTTTACTTGCGTGATTCCAGCTTTTGGAGTGGGTTAAAAAAAAGTATTATTCTTGGTCTTCAAACCAACTGTCAATGACCATCATGACGTCATCATCTCAACTGAATGTATTTCCATACAAATTTTCTTTCGCAAGTGGGAAAAGGTAAAAATTAAAGGAAGTCATATCAAGCGAATAAGGAGGGCGGGGAAGAAATTCGAAGCCACATTGGCGGAAAGCAGCGTTTGCAACCCAGAGAGGCATGACCTAGTGGATTGTCCTGGAGAAGTAGCATACCCCGGCGAAGTTTCCCTCTACGCTTCTTCTTGATTGCTTCTCTCAGCTTCAAAAGCAGTTTGGCGTAATAGTCACCCGTTATGGTCGTTTCATGTTCCAGGTAGTCATTAGGCCAAATTCCCTTTGCATCTTGGATGACAGAGGACAT